CAGGTGTGAGCCACCACGCCCGGCCTGATTTTTAATTTTTAATTTTTAAACTCTCTGGTCATAGGACTGGGAGTTAGAAACCCCCACCCTTGCAGCCTATGGCTGCAAAAGCCCAGGACCCACCTTAGAAGCTAATTTTTTATCATTTTGACGTGATTTTCATAATCTTGAGCTTTGGCGGTTGTGGTAAAGGTGGTCAGCATGGGTGAGAAGGCAAGTGTCAGTTTCACCAGGACCTGGCTGTCCCACAAAGCCGCTGGGACACTTGGATCCTCCTCCCAGGGAGGAATCCCTCCCGCCCCCTTTCCTCTCCCCTCCTTTCTTCCCTCCCTGTGTTTACTAAGAGCTTATGCTGGGCTTAGTCCTGAACCTGCAGAAACAGTCCAAGGCTGAATGAATGCCCTCTTCCCTGGCAGGGATGTCGATGTTTCTCTAAGATCTCCGCTAAGCCTGTGTTACTTATTTATCTATTTATTTGTTGAGACAGGGTCTCACTCTGTCACCCAGGGTGGAGTGTAGTCGTGTGATCATGGCTCACTGCAGTCTTGAATTCCTGGGGTCAAGCCATCCTCCTGCCTCAGCCTCCCAGAAGCTAGGGCTACAGGCACGTGCACCGCACCTGGCTAACTTTTCTTATTTTTTGTGGAGACAGTGTCTTGCTATGCTGACCAGGCTGGTCTCAAACTCCTGGCCTCAGCGATCCTCCCACCTCACCTCCGGAAGTGCTGGGAATCCAGGTGTGAGCCACCGCGCCCGGACTAACCCTGTGTCTTTTAACCTCACCCTTCACTCCCCGCTCTTTCAGTAATATTTGGCACATTGAGAAGCTAAAGCTAACGTTCTGTGGAGAATATGGATTACACCCGAACTCAGACACCTGAAATTTTGACAGCTCCCTGGGGAACATCTTTGCATGTGAGAGGTATTTGGAAAGGCATGAAACTGGAACGCAAGTTGACTCGTTGAACAGAGCCACATCTTGGCAGGTTGAAGAGCTGTTTCACCTCCGGCTCTGGAGACGCCTGAGCGAGACACACCTGCATGCACTTGCCACTGTGGGTGGAGCCTCCCTCATCACTTACAAGAGAGTCTCCCTCTGAAACGGCGTCGAGAGACTTGATCATGTGCTGCTTCCACAGATATTTTACTACAATCGTTTTTATAAATATCTTTGAAAGGAGAACCAGAGCCGGCCCAGGAGCAAGCTGAGAGCAAAGGTTTTCCTCAATCATTCTTACCTTTTTGACAAGAGGTCTTATTTTAGTTTTCAGGAGATTTACTATACTAGAATTTTCTTAGCTTTGTAACCTCTTTCCTTACTGCAGGAAGGATCTCTGAGCAGCTGAGGCCACCACGGACTGCAGGGGGAAGGACGGCTGCAGGAAAGGTGGCGGCTGTAGGGCCGGCGCCCCTGCTGGTGACCCTGCCCCAGTCCCCACGGGGTCTGCCGTGTGGGTCAGAGACGGGGATTCAGCCCTGCGAGAAGGGTGTGTGGAGAAGACAGCCAGCAGCAGCAAAATACAAACAAATATGCTCCCATCGCCCAGCTTGGCAGAGCAAAGGGGCAAACTGTGGGGTCTGGCACGACACTGGAAGGACTGTCAAATTCAGGCTTTCTTTTATAAACTCAGTTTGCCAATTTGTTGTTTTAAGGCAGTGCCTGCTTGCTGGAGAGCCGGAGACTGGGGCCTCTGAGTTCCGGACGTCACCGGGCTGTGTTCTATGGAGTGTCACTTGTCAGGCTGCAAACCTGGGAACCCCACCCAGCCTCGGTTGTCAGCGGCAGTGCGCAAATGAATTTTTGGAGCGTTTTCAGATGAGCAGGTAAGAGGTGTCGTGAAGATGCCAAGCTTTCTCCATTTGCCTGATTTAGTTTCTTAGAAGAGTCCATTAAGAACGGCCTTATGTCTTTATGTGCATTTATACACTCCCTGACCTATTTTTTAACTATTGTTTTTTTAAATAAGTGATCATGCCTCATCAAATGGTACTGAGGCAAAGGGCCTGATGCAGCTTATGTAAGAAATATAAATTAAGGTCCTAAATCACTTCGCTAATACTTGGGCTGGAAAGTTGAAACTATATGTGCCTATCCGTAACTGAGATTCTAATTTTCTTCAAAAATGAGTTATCTGCCATCAGGCAAATCTCACTCATTTTTACAGATTCATGTCAAGCGAGACGCTTGTCTTCCTCTTCTGTGCTCACAAAATCGCAGCCTTGGACAAATATTCCTGACGACACCAACTGAGACCCATTCAGTGACTCTTGGAAGAAAGGAAAAACACCTCCCTTGAACATGATAAAATACCATCAAAATATGTATTTTACTGATTTTCATGGAAAATTTAACCATTTGATGAAATGCCTTTATATTTTACCTAGCTGATTTTCACTTGTACTTAACTATTTGTTTTAAATACAATACATGAAAATGAGGTGAAAATATACAACATTCTCCCTGAACCAAACCTAGGAGAGATTAAATTTTGCCCCAAGTGAAATAGCTAAATTCAATGGATTTTAATTACTTTTGTCCCCATGGGTTCCCCCCGTTCATTTCTGCTATTTTCCCCTTAGGTTGCGATGATTAATTTGCAAGTTTAGTCCCACACTATCCATGAAACTAAACAAAGTGTATAACAGGCGAGATGATTAAGTGCCACCTTTTGACTAAACAGGCTAAGAAGTATTTTTTTTCAGCGCTGGCCTTTGTGAGTGCATTGGAACGAGGCTGGTGGTCGTGGATCACCATGGCCTCCTCTGGGCTCTGCCGGGCCTTGGCAGCCGCCTGCTGTCCGTCTCACTGGACCCAGCCATGCTCCTTCTAGGAATGGGCCGCTAGGCATCTTATGGGGCAGTTCCCATCCCCTGCTTTCCATTCTCAGGTTGTTCTGAAACCACATTTTCTTGACTGACAATAAGAGCAGCCCATGAATTCCTTTGTGCAGGGCAGCAATAACTTACCAGGATGCACAGTTTTTCCTGAATGAATCCTGAGGTCTCGGAAGCCGCTTCCTCTGCCCACTATGCTTTCTCTGTATTGCTTTCTCTAAGGGCTCTTTTGGGCGCTGAGATTCTAAACGTAAAGCTTAATGCTCACCCAGTGGAAGCAACATCCTTACCAAAAGCCTCCTTAATGTTGGCTTAGACAGGAAATGGAAATGGCTGGTGTTATCCATCCTTTAAAGCATTTCTAGTGCTCAGCCGCCATGAAATGGATTGCTTATGGGGAGATAATGTCTGTTCTATTCCTTTTTAAGTCTGTGAAAAATGTCATCCTGGTTAATAGGGTGATTAAAACTCTTTATGCTCCAGGAGATAAATGTGATTATGTTTGTCATACTCTACCCAAGATAAAGACAGCAAAGAAGGCAAACTTGAAATTCCACAACGTTTCCTCTCTTCCATATCCAGGGACATTCAGAACTCAATACCCAGATGGTACTTCACATAAAGAATAACATTATCTGTTAAACATTTTTCCTTTCCATTAACCAATTTAACAATATGCCTCTGGTATAAAAGGAATAGACAAATGACTAAATCTTCTGATATCTGAGTTCTGACTGTAGAAAACACCATTGAGTCATACTGCTTTTCTTTTAAAATTCTCATTGTTGTTACTTCATTTTTGCTTTTAAAATGCAATCGGAGCCTATGCTCAGTGCCTATGCTAGCGATTCTGTCCCTGTCAACCTCCCCTCAGCAAAGGATTCACGGTCATTCTTAGGAAGTCCGCCTGCCATCAGTCAAGGACAACAGAAGTGTCGTATAAGGAAAGAGTTTTGTAGGCATGTAGACATGCCATCCAATTAGGTATTCAGACACTCACTCCTTCAGCAACGTTCATGCAGGCCTCCTCCATGCAAGCCCTGTGGGAACACAGTGCACCCCCACCCAGCAGGCCTGCAGCAGGAGCTGACACCGTGTACAGGGCCCTGAGAGGAAGTCGCTACCCTCAAGGAGCTTACAAGGCAGGAACCTATTAAACAGAATCACAGTGAGTAACGATTTCTCCTTTTATCACTCCAGACAAGCTAGAAATTCTCATCTTCTCCTACCCAGTGGAGGTCTTTTAAAAATCATCAGGCATTCTCCATCTAAGAAAAATAAAAATCCAGATTCTAGCTGTAAACAGCTGACATTTTTTTCCACGTCAGACAAGATTTGCTGACATCATAACAGGGCTTGAGGCACATCTCACATGAGTGTGAGAACCCAATCGTCAAGCTTATGAAGCACAAAAGGGTCAGGTGGTGCCCATTCCATTAAGGGGAACCTAGACTCAGACTAATAATGTGGACAAAAACCAGTCCAGTTTGACTCTTGCCTTTCCTTCATTTTTTTCAAAATCTTTTTTCTTTTGAAACAGGGTCTTGCTCTGTCACCCAGGCTAGAGTGCAGTGGTGTCATCACAGCTCACTGCAATTCAAAGTCTTGGGTTCAAGTGATCCTCCTGACCCAGCCTCCCGAGTAGCTGGGACTACAGGTGTGCACCACCGCGCCTGGCTAATTTTTATATTTTTGTAGAGACTGGGTTTTGCTCTTGCTCAGGCTGGTCTGAAACTCCTGGCCTCAGGCGATCCTCCTGCCTTGTTCTCCCAAAGTGCTAGAGTTACAGGCATGAGTCACTGTACTTGGCCATCAAAATCTTTTCGTAGAGGAGATTTAGTTAGAAATGAAAGACTGGTGAGAAGGTTTTTTCTACTCCACATGTACTGATAAGTTTCACAATCCTTTCATTTTATTCTTGGATTTTTAACAGGTTACACATGAATCCCAGATACCTATTACACCTGTTTAATTAACAATATGGCAATTTTAACAGGGTAACATGGTCTAAAGAAAAAAGTTACATTATGTACTTGACATTTCATTTAAAAATTTCCCTTAGAATAAAAGGTTGCATTATAACAGAGAAATTTCAGATGTACTTTATTAAACTTGATTGCTAATTAGAGCCTTTATAAGAAAACTGCACAACTGATATTCAACTATAGGTTATTTTTCTGGACATATTGACACATTAAAGTACTTCTCTTCTTTAAAAAATGTTAATCTCCAGTAAAAAATAACTGCACATAGACATTATTCCCCACATGTTTTCTGTAAGAGATCATGGAGGACAGGAGAGTTGGGTGAGTATGTAAGAATTTATCATATCAGCTTCATTAGAGAGCTGGGACCAAATACTTACTATTGAGACTCAGTACTCAGGTGAATATAGGTGAACTGGGCTGTTTTTACTTTGACAACTGAGACAAAATTACAAGTTGTCAGTCAGTGCTCAGGGATCCAGACCAACTTCTCAAGAAAGTATATTTTATGCCTTTGATAGCATCCTTATTATTATTTTAGTCCAATTATACCTTTTTATATTATCATAATCCATTACTGGCTTTTTGTCCTAAGAATTTATGGGGCTTCCAAGTGAGGCCATCAGGTAGATAACTAGCATGTGTGCACTAGCTGGGACCCCAAGACTGCACCCAGGAAGACAGAGCTACATCCATTTCGTGCCCTGCAGGACTTACCTGTTAACTCACTTTGGAGTCTGGGTACCAGGAACAAGCCTTCCAAATTCTGACAGTCATACACTGACAAGAAAGGCTCCTGAAACTCATTTAATTAGACATATTGCTATTAGGGAATCTGTTTATAAAGATTTTCTATCATATTTTTATTACAAACTTTTTTTTAAAGTACAAAACTTGGGTTTCAATCGAAATTTGGTTCAACTGTCATGAACAGAAGCATCTCCTCTGGGATCTTATCCACATAAGGAAGTTATCCCTATAATTACCATTTTTAAATAGTCTTCTAAATGCCGGGAGAACTTTATCCTCACCCAACACACACACACACATTCCTCTGATGAGGAGGTCAAACACTGTCCATCCCATGGGTTCTGTCAAGAATCTGCCCCTGTTCCTGAGAAATCAGTCCCAGTGCCTCAGCTGCCATGGTCTCCAGCACTGCCCTTTTTGTAACAATTGTTCTGGAATTCATCCACGCTCATCTCATTTGGATTTTAATGCTTCCTCCCACTCAACAGCTGATTCGGAGTTCTTGGGAATCGTTGGAAATATTGATTGCATTTTACTTCGAAAGTCTTTCATCTAGAAGAAGAAAATAGTCATCAAATGTTAAAAGAAGGAGAAAACAGCCAAAGCTATTAGAGACGGCACCTTTCCTGACTGGATAATACTCCACTGCTCACAAGTGCAGAGCAAAGGAATACCAAGAAAAGATAAGGACTATATTCTATTAAATAGTTACCTTGGAGGAAAATGAACTACACTTATTTTCTTCTTCTAAGTATAAATCTATTATCTAAATAACGTAAAACTTTACTCTTGATCTGGAAGGCAACATGCCCTAAATTGTCAGCCCTCCATATTTATTCCCTACCAGAGGACGAGAAAGCATCCTTGGCTTTTATGTATAAAGATGCAGATGAGGATGGGATTTCTGCCTATGAATACACTTAGGTCATTCAAAGTTAAAATTTTAGAGCCAGAGAGAAAAGGTAGAGAGAAGATACTTAGCAGGAGTTTAATAAAGAATAAATCAAGGAATGGCAGATAAACTAGAATGTTCTTATGTACCAGACAATGTTAAAAAAAAAAAATCTATGTAGGAGTTTTACCAGCAGAAGTTGACTTGGAATCCGAGAGTCAGAGCAGGTGGATGGGAGATCTTACCACGTGGTCTCAACACAGCATCATGGTTCACCTGGAGCTCCTGGTCCCCTAAGTTGTGCAGCCCCGTAAGGGAGGGGAATCCTAATTTAAGGGAGTTGGATGATCTTTACATTAGACAGTCCTAGTAACGACACTCCTGGATCCATCGGTTTTCATCCACATGGTCCTGCTCTGCAGAAACTATTTCGCAGCACTGCGGCACCGCATCACAGTGTTGTCCCATCATCCATGTGCCAGCCACACTTTTCTGAGGATGGAGATCTCCTTGGTCAGGTTCGTGAAGCACCCGGGACTCATCAGCAACAAGCAAGTCATTTCTTAGAGTGGTTATTTTGAGAGTCGGCTATTTTTTTTATGTTGATGCTTATTTATTTAAATTTGAGGCTGAATCTTTACCTTGTTTCCAAATTTAGGGAGTGCATCTTGTTTGGGACTTGTAAATCCTAGGCATTTACTCCAGCGACTGTAGCAGAGACTGTGGTATCAGACAGACCAAATCGCAGCTCCACCACTTGGGAAAGCTGCACACTCTCTAAGCCGCAGTTCCCTCGCATGTGGAACAGACGTAATAACTACGGCTTGCAGAGCTGCGAGGACTGAGAGAGAGAAAGCACCCAACGCTAGCCAGTGTATTAGCTGTTATCATGTATTAGCTGTTATCATTACAGCATTATCAAAATGTGTACATTGTATTCCAAGAACAAAGCTCACAGGGATATAAACATTATGGTGTAATTGTTAAAAGCATTACTTTGTAGTTATATATCATTTTGGTTTAAATATTCTGCCCCTGGAAGATATGTAAGGTTATCCATTACATGCTGTCTGTGGGAGGTCTGTGCCAACCATCCCAGTGTCCTGGACCCAGGTGCCAATCTTGAAGACACACACATCCACAGGTGTTTCTCTCCCCGTACCTCCTTCCACGTGGCCCTCTAGTTCGCACTGTGACTAATCCTACAAGAGAGGTTCCCAACTAGAGGCAGCGCTGCATCCCTGGGAAGCAGCTGGAACTGTGGAGGGGTGTTTTTGGTTGTCACAATCAGGGTAAACCACTATTGGCATCTGGCCTGAGGGTGGGAGGTGCTTCGGGGTTCAGATTCTAAATGTCCGGGATGGCCCACAAAAAGACTTGCTTTGTTCAAAACACCACTGGTGTTCCCACTGAGGAACTCTGCACAGACTTTCATAGTTGAAAACCAGACACCTCTCTGGCCAGGGTTTGCCATGTGCCGCCTGGTTCCCTTCACCTTTCCCAAACATCTGTTACAACTAAGCCAGATGACACAGTTTGCAAATGGGGTGTCAGATAGCCAAGACCTGAACGGAACCATTTACGTTCTCCCTCGCAGGCATGTGGAACGTGGTCAGTCGCTGAGGAAAGGTTGGGAAACGCAGATGAGGCCAGGGGAGGAGAGTCAGGGTGGTGCTTCCTTCAGCACGGCTGCGTTTCCATTTCCTCCTCTTGGCCTGAGTTTTTTCTTTACACTCATTTCCCAAATATTATATTACATACTTGTTCCCAGGGTTGTAAGTGAGAAACCGAACCACTAGAAGCAATCATATCTGAAAAACAGCCACTTGGAGTAGATAGGCTTCAGACTGCGGGACAGGAACTGATTGTCTAATTTTACAGCTGTGCAAATGCAAACAGAGTACACATTTAAGTTATAAACAGGACTTTAGGTTGCTTTAGACAAGAGGCTTCTACAGGAGGTTTTTAAGCTTGTACTATTTATATTTCATAGATAGTAAATGAAAATCTTCACATTTTTTTCCACCTATGTCAATTCCTGATATTTAGTTCAGAAAAGGTATTGATATTCTATATATATTCCTTGCTTAAAGATGTGCTTGAAAAAAAGACTTAAGGATTGAATGCATTTCAGCAAATTTGGTTATAAAGTAAATGTACTGAATTTCCTCATAATGATCACAGCCATTGCCACAGAACTGTCTTTCTGCCCTGTACCCCAGAAGTCTGGTGAAGACGGGGCATGCTGGGAACTAGAGTCCCCATCCAGCAACGCAGTTGTTCTCTGAAGCATTTTCCAAACTCTAGTATCTCTTCCCTGTAGTTCTCTCTTTCCTCTTCCCTCTTTCCTCTGACCTGGGAGAATTTTTCCTTGCTGTGGCTAACAGGGTCACTCTCAGAAGCAGGGCTGCTATGTCCTGCCACAGCCTGTCCCGGAACACCTCCAGGGGCTGCTCTCCATAAAGACTAAGGCTTGAATGGTACTTGCCAGTGCAATGAGCCTGCTGTCTGTCCCCAGAACCTCATCCTTAAGGCCCAATGTTTTAGCGTCCAACAGTGCTTGCTGGGTTGTAATATTACCAGAAAGTACCACTGTGTAAGGTGGTAGTGCTCACATGGAGTGCCATGACAAATGGAAAAATGGATGACATGTAATTTGTCACACATGTGGACATTCTAAAGATTGGATACAATCAGCTTTTTAGGTATTAGAACAGATTCAAGATTATGCCTTTAAAAATCCCACTTCAACAGCTTCTTGAAGGGTCACGTAGCCTGTAGGCCAGGAGTGAGATCAAGCCCAGATGCCACTTAGAGAGTCCTTACTGTAGGCATATTCCTCATTGGACCTTCATAATGACCAAGTGGGGCAAATGTTATCCCTCTTTTTAAGATAAAGTGATAGAAGCTTAAGGCAACTGAACAATGTGCTCAGTGTCCTAGTGGGCAAAACCCAGATCTGACCGCACAGCCCGTGCATTTACTCCGCAGCGTGTGACTGTGCACAGGGGCACTGCTGCACGCTTGCCATGCATGTCTTGGCGGGAAAAAACAACTTGAAAGCGTTTTGTCTAATATACGGTATGCTGAAAATTACTTAAAAGCTCGGGTTATGTTCCCAATTTAATTCATTTCAGAGAATCCTTATAGCATCAATTCTAATAAATAGGCAAGTATCAGAATTAAAAGTTCTGAGTTTTGAAATGTTTTTGCCATTGACCAGCTCATTTAGCTTTTATTTCTTCACTTGCCAGTGCAAGACTGTTGCTGGCCTCAGTGCTGGGGGTTAAAATGATGAAAGCTTTATAGGATCTACTTGTGAAAAAGCTTTTAAGTATGTCAATGATTACAGTGTCAATGTTAATTTTCAAGAATCTGGTAATTCAGCTTCTTCATAAAATACAACAGAATAAGACCATATAATACGGATACCAGGAGATTAAAAAGTATAGTTAGGTTGTAAAAATGTTACTTGAACAGGAATAATAATATCTGCCATTTGGGATCACTTACGTGCCTGGCACTGGACAAAGCATTTTGCTATTATTTAACCTTCAAAATTCTATATGGCAGGAAGTATGACCACCACTTTACGTGTGAGAAACCAGAGGTCAGAGAGGTTAACTTGTCCATGGGGACATGGCTTGTAAGTACAATTGTCTGACTGATGCTTAGCACTCTTTCTCCACAGACACTCTGGTTCTGTGACCTGGAAAAGTACCTCTAAGTATCTCTATCACTTCTACCCATGTACCAGCTTTCACTAAAAATGACTTAAAAAAAATATTATACCTTTCATAGTGGCGACCATTTTATTTTGAATGCGGTGATAGATATATGTTCACCAACAGCCAATACTCATCTACTTCTGGATATAGGGGGGATATACTTCCCTACCTCCTTGAAGTTAGGAAACCAGGTGACTAGTTCTGGCTAATGAAATGTGAGCAAAAGAAACGTGTGTCACTTCCAGGCTGAACGCTTAATTGCAGGGATTCAACTCTCGAGGCCTCTCTTCCTTTTCCATAGCAATCATGGAACTCTGTGTTTGCTGTGGTGCTACCTCAAGATCAAAGCAACCTGAGGTGCTGAGACAGCACGTGGAGGGTTGCTTTCCTAGAGAGTTGCTTAAATCCACAGAGGGTTTTACACAAGTGAGGAATAAACCTTTGTTATTTTAAACCATAGATTTGGAGATTGTTTTTTATTGCAGCATAACCCAGCCTATCCTAGCTGATGGAAGTGGTGAAGAGAAATAAAATAGACTTGAGGCATTGCTCTGATGCCCTATAATAAGTACATTAAATTTGGCTGAAACACAGCTGAATAAAAACTCAAGGGCCCAATAAGAGGGAGAAGGAACTCCATGCAGTTGAGCTCTAAAAGCCCTTACAACCATGTGGAACAACTGAATCACCACCCTTCCCACTTTCAGGGAGCTCAGCACATCAATTAGTCTCATTATATGACACTGTGGGAAGTGAGAACATTGCTAGATGTTTTCAATAAAATAGTATGTGAGCTCTAATCAGCATGGTAAAGGGTCATTTTTTGGGGAGGATCACTGTCCTATGTCTATTTGATAAAATCCAACTAAGCAGGACTGGCTTGGTTTAGAGAACAGACGCTGACCTCTTTCACCTTTGACTAGGCCTGTCGATAGCCACATGGATCCTGAGACGAAATGTGTTTGAGCATACCGTATTATTCACTTAAATACTCGGTTGCATTAGGAAGGCTGATGTGAATTTTTAAATCTCAGCTTCCTATTTTTTAAGTTACCAGTACTATCATTTAAGGTTAGACAAGCATCTTTCCTTTCTCCTAAACCCTCACTGTATCACATGCATAGAGTCCAGAATCTGCACTAAAGTCAACTGACTTAGGAATAAAAAGCAAATGTGTAACTTTCTGAGGAATACAGTCCCTGAAGTACTCATTAAAATGGCCAATTTTTATGACAGTGATTAACAATAAGGCACAATTCAAAGCAGAAGTTTTCGGTTAGTATGAAATAAACTGTGCAACAGGGATGATCCTAGGGCCTTAGAGCCAAGGGCCCACTCGGCTGCTAAAACCCAGCCCAGGAAGAACAATTTATAACGTGCTTCTTAATTTAATGTAGCAACAGGTCAGGTTCTCAGAGGCAGTTCTAAAATGATCTTCACTCAGTCAGGCTTTATTTTTATAACAGAAACTGCAAAATTTAGGGATGTTTCCTTTCCATGCCAAATAAATAACAGTAACTATAGAACCTGTCAGGACTTTTTGTAAAAGTTTTCTACTTTACTGCTATAACATATTTATAACAGCTACAATCTGTTCACTATTTTCATATCTTAACCTAATTATCCTGTTTTGCTCGTATACATGCACACGTGCATGCATGAACACATACATGACCTACATGCAGCTACAACCCCCATTTCATAATGTTTTTTTAATGAGCTAGCTTGTCCCCAACCCCTGGCTGATGGACTGGTACTGGTCTGTGGCCTCTTAGGGACTGGGCCACTGACCTCCACTGCCCCCCCTACTATCTGCCCCCCCCCACCATGGAAAATTGTCTTCCATGAAACTTGGGGGGAGGAGCATGCACACAGGAGGTGAGCAGTAGGAGAACAAAGCTTCATAGCTTTATCTGTATTTACAGCCGCTCCCCATTGCTCGCATCACCCTCTGAGCTCTGCCTCTCCAATCTGTTGAGAAATTGTCTTCCATGAAACCGGGTCCCTGGTACTAAAAAGGTTTGGGGACTGCTGGTCTAGCTGACAGGCTGTCCCAAGGGAATGAAAGCAGCCTCGCGATGGATCCATTACAAAAAGCACTTCTGTGTGTACAGACTTTTATTTTTACATTGCAGAGAAGGTTACAGCTTTTTTTAGAGTATATAAATGAACTTAGGTATAAGCCAGCCAGAGTGAAAGAATTAGCATGTATCTAATGAAAAGAATCAGAATTTCTAGAACAAAAGAAACACCTACATCCTGCTTTTTTTTGGTGAGGGGGACCAAAAGGCAACTACATACACATACAAGGCAAGTACTGGCACATCAGAGGCACCGTAAACAGCTTCTTTCATGTAGTTACTTGGGAACTGTAAAAAGGTTAAGTATCATCCAGCATCTGAATGCTAAATAAACAAGGAAGTCACTCCACCCACTTTGCCGTTTCCATCTTTTAGGAATTTAAGTTTATTCAAAGGTTTGACATATACAATCCTATATCTACTATCTCTTCAATAATTTCAGAATGATAGTTTAAAGTTTGAGCTCCTTCTGAATCTCCCAAAGTGTTTTTGCGCTCTTCTTTAGATGGGCCTCCTCTTCAGGGGTCAGCTTTATTTTTATAAGGTCTGTAATACCATTTGCTCCCAAGATACAAGGAACACTGAGGAATACTTCTTCATCTATTCCATAGAGGCCCTTAATTATGGTGGAAACTGGATGTGTTCTCCTCAGATTCTTCAAAATACTTTCTGTTAAATCAGCTACAGAGAGGCCAATGGCCCAGTTAGTATAACCTTTCATTTTAATAATCTCATAGGCACTGGCAATCACTTCTTTGTGGACATTTCCCCATTGCTCAGGGTCTTTATCGGTTCCTATATCTGCATTCAGATCCTTCAAAGGGACACCAGCAATGTTAACTCCACTCCACACAGGAACACTTGAGTCTCCATGCTCTCCAAGTACCCATCCATGACAGCTTTCAGAGTGGATACCAAGCTTTTGCCCAATCAAAAAACGAAAACGAGCAGTATCCAGATTACAGCCACTTCCAATAACACGGTTTTTGGGAAAAGTACTCAACTTCCAGGCTACATAAGTTAAGATATCCACCGGATTGGAAACAACAATGATTTTGCAGAGGGGGCTGTACTGGACAACACTGGAAATCATTGCTTTGAAGATGGTCACATTTCTCTGGACTAAATTAAGGCGCGTTTCTCCCTTTTCTTGGCGTGCACCTGCTGTGATAATCACTAGGTTGGAGTTTGCAGTGATATGGTAATCTTTGCTGCAAGCAATATTTGGCATTTTCATGAAAGGGCTGCCATGTTGAAGATCCATCGTCTCACCCTTCAGTCTGCCTTCATCAAGATCTACAAGGGCAAGTTCATCACTCAAGCCTTTTAGCAAGATGCTGATAGCACAGGCCATGCCAACTGACCCAGTTCCTACAATGGAGACCTTGTTGTGGCGAACCGGCTCCTCTGAAGTGAAATTCTTCATCAGTTCACTCTTCATAGTCGCCATCTTGGCTGCGGGGGTGTGGAGCCAGGCGCCCCTGAGCGGGCCGCGGGCTTCACCATGGAGACTCAGAGCCATCACCCGGCACGGGAAATTTGCTCCCGCAGAGCTCACTCTCCCGCTGGCCCGCAGAACTGCCACAGCCCAGCTCATGGCCACTCACTCGAGAGGCGGAGGAAGAGAATGGACAAAGGCCGCAGGCAAGAACGTGGAGAGGCCAAGATAGCTGGTGACCGTTGGACGCTTCTGGTGCCCTCCACTGCGGCTGCGCAGGCCACGCCCCCCCCAGACCGCTACTGCGCATGCTCTCAGCAGGTGCGCACTCTGAGGGGGAAAGGCTTTCTTTCCTAGGAAGTGAATCCTGGAGTTATGTTTACAAACATGGATTCTCATCAACATGTGACATGTTTAACAGGCCAACTCCCAGACCCCTGGAATTATTCATTTTCTATTTTTAGTATGTGTGCCAAATGAAAATGCTTCTGTTAACTAGAGATGAAAACAAGGTTAAGACTTCTGAGCCGTCCCCTGCCAGGAAGCACAGGTGCGTGTGCTTTGTCTCCCCACAGCGCGCTGCAGCGCTTCCCAGTGGGGAGAGGTGGGATTCCACTGCCTTTATGCCAGGCCTGACCGGGACCCACAGTCAGCGCCGTCTGGCAGCCGGGGAAGGGGCCAACTGTGAGTTACTCCAATACTAAAATCTCACTGGAGGAGGAGGATGCTGAGCCTTTCTCATGCCGCAGGAAACCCTGTGATTGTGAGTCCTGATTAAAAACGACTTCCCAGGTAGAAAGATGGTGATGTAACCCTCTATTAAAAAGAAGCTATCTCTTAAATGTTTTTAAAATGGCAACTTTTAACCAGTGTACAAATCAGATTATGGACTAAAATAGGGAAATAAAATACCACCTAGTACAACATGGCATCAGTATGCCTCACCTCCACTGCAGTTCTCTGGGCACTCTCATGAACTAAATTCTTTTCGAATTTCTGAGTAAGTGTCAACTTTACGTCTGATGAAATGTATACCCTAATAAACCCAATAAACTACAAAAGCCCCAAAACAGCACTTTCTTCCCACTTATAAACAGAATTGTAACTGTGTAATGATTCGTCAAACACTCTCTCGTGTTCTAAGAGAGCAGTATGCTCTCCCCAACGGGGCTCCCTGGTACACATAACCCCCTCACAGTCAGCAAAAAAACCCTTCAGTTTTAGAATAATGAATCCTGACAAAATGAATTATTTATATTCAGGACTTGAAAAGCTATTCTCATTCTTTTGCCATGGAAATGTAGTCCAAGAAGAGAGGAACAGTAAGCAGAGGAGTTGGTGAGAGGTGGGGAAGTGTGGAAATTAGTGGAGTTCCTGCAGTCCTGTCTCAGTGTAACTTGCTGGCCGTGTTGACTCACTTTCCATACTAGAGGAGTTAGACACTCTGTTTAGATGGTACAGAGTGACAAGCTCCATGACACACGAAATTGTAAGACCACCAGATACATGAATGCTCTATGCACTGGTGGCCAGATTTACGGGAACCATTTGTCAAATTAAAAACTGGAATTTTAGAAGTGATCATCTTTATTTAATTGTGGCCAGCATTTTAGAGGGAACCTTTAAAAGGATCAACTTTTGACAGCTGTTGTTTCTTTTATCCCAGACATAACTTCAAATGTTTTAACCTGATGTCTATTCCCACCTTCTTCCTGTGACCAGTCATTTTCCAAAATAAGTGTTCTTGAACACGAAATTCAAGGACATAAAGACTCCTAGCTAGATGGCTTCTATCTATAATTTTCGTCCTAGAGTTTGAGCCTCTTCAGAAATACAATCTCTATGATAGCTGCCTCTTCAGTTTTTTCCCCTTAGCCACAACTAGATCAATTTTGAGGGGGGGGGAACTCTCCAAAACAAAAATACACCAAACAAAGCGGCTTTTCTTTTTCTTTTTTTTTTTTTTTTGAGACAGAGTCTCACTCTGTTGCCCTGGCTAGAGTGAGTGCCATGGCGTTAGCCTAGCTCATAGCAACCTCAAACTCCTGGGCTCAAAGCGATCCTACTACCTCAGCCTCCCGAGTAGCTGGGACTACAGGCATGCGCCACCATGCCCGGCTAATTGTTTTCTATATATTTTTAGTTGTCCAGATCATTTCTTTCTATTTTTTTTAGTAGAGATGGGGTCTCGCTCTTGCTCAGGCTGGTCTCAAACTCCTGAGCTCAAACAATCCGCCCGCCTCGGCCTCCCAGAGTGCTAGGATTACAGGCGTGAGAAGTCTCAAGATAAAAAGGAATGCATTAAGAAAGACGAAGAGATGTACATGACCTCCAGAGTGGATTTAGGTCTACTCAAAGATGTGGAAAGCCAAATATAGCTAGACAGCTCCCTAATGACTTTCTATCTTAGGTGGCTCATTATTCCTTTTGAATTGAAAACCTAACTCAAATTATCTACTCAAAATGCAGTACAGTGTTACAGCTGATGGCAGCATTACACCTTAATACTTTTGGTTACACCACTTAGGACGGAGGAAGCAGAAATGAAGACAACCAGCAGGTCTCTGGACCAAGAACGGCTGCACCCAAGTCACACTATTCCTTTCACCTGGACTCTCACGCCCAGCTCTACCATCCTCCCTTTTCTATCTAGGAGTCCAGTTCTAATATTCCATCCTCTCGCAAATGTTCATCAATCTCCCAAGCAGAATTGACTATTTATTTATTTATTAAGACAGAGTCTCGCTCTGTTACCTTAGACTAGGGTGCTGTGGTATCAGCCTAGCTCGTAGCAACCTCAAACTCCTAGGCTCAAGCGATTCTCCTGCCTCAGCCTCCCAAGTAGCTGTGACTACAGGCATGCACCACCACACCTGGCTAATTTTTCTATTTTTAGTAGAGATGGCGTCTCCCTCTTGCTCAGGCTGGTCTCGAACTCCTGACCTCAAGTGATCCTCCTGCCTCAGCCTCCTAGAGTGCTAGGATTACAGGCGTGAGCCACCACGCCTGGCCCAGAATTGACTTTTTAAACTCTTATGTCACCATTGTATTGGGTACCTCTCTCCATTATAGGATTTATTGCACACAATTAAATGTAAAATACTTATGAATGTGTCACTTGAAGAGGGATCACCTCTTATTTACCAGCATATCCCTGTCGTCTGGAACAGAGCTGGGCACATGAGTACGGATTCACATGTTTGTGGTAGAAAAGAATGAGTAGATAACTATAAACTGAGTAGGCTAGAGGAGGGCTAAAAGGTTAGAGAGAGATGGAAAGGGCAGGCTAGAGAACCCACCTGGTGCCAGAGTTCTGAAAACAGGGGTAAGTAAAATGGGGAGGTGGTGCCCGTTTGGGGCATCATGGCAAGGTTGATGCATAGATTTCAAATAAAGCCTTGGATAAGGTAAAATATTTCTTAACTATTTTCAAAGCCAATACTTATCTTTACCAAGTTAAAACATGCCAAAAAAAAAAAAAAACCTGTAGTGCTAGAAACCTAGCAAAACAAATTTGCACTGGCAAAGAGATTATTTTTATCCTCTAAAGTTATTTAAAATTTTTGTTCTTTGGAAAGCTTTTAGAAAATCAGCACACAAAACCTTTGCTTTGGGGAAAAAAGGAGGAAATGAAAGTAGTTTTAATTAATATTATAAGCTGATCTGAAATCCACAAGCATGCAAGGAGAACATTATATAAACACAATTATTTTAAAAGTCATCTTTGTGATTTGAAAATCATTAAATGCAAATTGTAGTTTTAAAACAAAATAGTGGGCTCTAATCATATTGCTCATAGATGCTAAAATCTGTATAACGTTGTAATTCTCACATGGGGGTCTTTACAGATACCAGTACATGAAAGTATTTTCCTTTGTCAGCAACACTGGGAAAGCTGGAGGGAGGACAAAAGCAGGGCCACAAAGTCTGCCTTGCAGGTAGAGTAAAGGTAGAAAGTTAATTCAAAAAAGCAACACTGGGATCAGCTTCCTATTTACAGCATTTAAATATTAGAAAATGAATTTATTTTCAAGCTCTTCTAATAAATTACCCAAATCACATTTTTCTTTAAAAGTATCACCTTATACATAATTTTCGATGCAATGTAAAAGAGTCACTTGTATTAATCACTAAAAAGGAAAAAAAAAAGGAAATTTCCAATGTGGTACAAAACATGAAAAACAAAGAAATTAAAATTCATTAGTATGTATTTAAGTACCCTAAATCCTATCTATCTAAAAATTGAGGTTTAACTTGACAGCTATAGATTCTAATTGCATGGGTGCTGTTTTATGCACTCCATTTATTCCCTGTGATTGGCTTAAGTAATAGAAGCCACACTGTAGTCCTCAGAAACAGCTTTGTTCATCCAAAAAATGACATGAAGAAAATGTTTGTGTACGGAAATTACTTTCAATTTGAGGTAGAAAGCTAAGGTACCTTTATAAACTCAAAACCGCCAAAACAGATGGACACCATGTTGTAAAGCCTAAAAATCAATTTGACCTAAGACTCTGGGCAAAGAACAGTCAGCAGTGGGGAATGGTGAGGAGAGGAAAAAATGCTCCCGGGGGTGGGGGTGGGGGTGGGGTAAGCAAGTACAAAGCTCAGAGGCTAGAGGCTAGGAAGAGCATGGCCTTTCGGCATGGCCAGAATTCCCAGTGTGACAGAAGGCTCATGAGAGACACAGCTAGACTTTCAGCTGCAGCACTACTGACGTTTTGGACCAGACAATTCTTTGTGGGCACCTGTCCTATGTACTGTGGAATGTTTGGCAGCATCCCTGGCCTCTACCCACTAGATGCCAGTAGCACCATTCCAGTTATGACAACTAAAAGTGTGGCCAGGCATCTTTGGGGAGGGGGAGATTTGCCTCCAGTTGAGAACCAACGAGGTAAAGAATAAGCAGAGGCCAGATCACATGGGGAGCTCATAAACCATTCCGAGGAGCCTGGACTTTATTCTCATAAGAGGGAGCCACTGAAATGGTAGAGGTGATGTGATCAGATTGCATTCAACAAATACTTACTGAACACCTCCTGTGGGTTAGGTACTGTGACAGGTGCGGAGGATACAATGAACAAGCTCAATGAGGTCTCCACTCTTACAGCATTTACACTTTTTGCTATCCTTTACTATAGCTTGTAAAGGTACAAACTGATAAAACAAGAAAATGATCAATATAATTTCAATTGAAATTATAATTATATATAATTATAATAATATA